CATAGAAACCATAGGGACCCATTGAGACCCATTGAGACCCCATAGAACCTATTGGGACCCATTGAGACCCATTGAGACCCCATAGAACCTATTGGGACCCATTGGAACCAATTGAGACCCATTGAGACCCCATAGAACCTATTGGGACCCATTGGAACCAATTGAGACCCATTGAGACCCCATAGAACCTATTGGGACCCATTGGAACCCATACAGACACCACAGACCCCATAGAGAGCCACAGGGACCCATTGAGACCCCATAGATCCCATTGGGACACATAGGAACCCATAGAGACCCATTGAGACCCCATAGACACCATAGAAACCATAGGGACCCATTGGAACCATTGAGACCCATTGAGACCCCATAGAAACCTTAGGGACCCATAGAGACCCATTGAGACCCCATAGAACCTATTGGGACCCATTGAGACCCATTGAGACCCCATAGAACCTATTGGGACCCATTGGAACCCATTGAGACCCATTGAGACCCCATAGAACCTATTGGGACCCATTGGAACCCATTGAGAACCCATTGAGACCCCATAGAACCTATTGGGACCCATTGGAACCCATTGAGACCCATTGAGACCCCATAGAACCTATTGGGACCCATTGGAACCCATTGAGACCCATAGAGACCCCATAGAACCCATTGGGACCCATTGGAACCCATACAGACCCCACAGACCCCATAGAGACCCACAGGGACCCATTGAGACCCCATAGAGACCCCATTGGGACACATAGAATCCTAGAATCCTAGAATCCCCAAGGTTGGGAAAGACCTCCAAGCTGCCCCAGTCCAACCGTTCCCCCGTTCCCAGCAGCTCCCACTGAACCCCGTCCCTCAGCACAGCACCCAGCCTTGCCTTGAACACCCCCAGGCTCGGTGCCTCCCCCACCTCCCTGGGCACCCATTGCAGTGCTGCCCACCTTTCTGAACAGTGACACTTCCTCAAGGAAACCATAGGAACCCATAGAGACCCCACAGACCCCATAGAGACCCACAGGGACCCATTGAGACCCCATAGATCCCATTGGGACACATAGGAACCCATAGAGACCCATTGAGACCCCATAGAACCCATAGGAACCCATAGGGACCCATTGGGACATATAGGGACCCATTGGAACCCATTGAGGTCCCATAGAACCTATTGGGACCCATTGAGACCCATTGAGACCCCATAGAACCTATTGGGACCCATTGGAACCCATACAGACACCACAGACCCCATAGAGACCCACAGGGACCCATAGAGACCCATTGAGACCCCATAGAACCTATTGGGACCCATTGAGACCCATTGAGACCCCATAGAACCTATTGGGATCCATTGGAACCCATACAGACACCACAGACCCCATAGAGACCCACAGGGACCCATAGAGACCCATTGAGACCCCATAGAACCTATTGGGACCCATTGAGACCCATTGAGACCCCATAGAACCTATTGGGACCCATTGGAACCCATACAGACACCACAGACCCCATAGAGACCCACAGGGACCCATTGAGACCCCATAGATCCCATTGGGACACACAGGAACCCATAGAGACCCATTGAGACCCCATAGAACCCACAGGGACCCATTGGGACAGCATAGAACCCATTGGGACCCATTGGAACCCATTGAGAACCATTGAGACCCCATAGAACCTATTGGGACCCATTGGAACCAATTGAGACCCATAGAGACCCCATAGAACCTATTGGGACCCATTGGAACCCATACAGACACCACAGACCCCATAGACACCCACAGGGACCCATTGAGACCCCATAGAGACCCCACTGGGACACATAGAATCCCCAAGGTTGGAACAGACCTCCAAGCTGCCCCAGTCCAACCGTTCCCCCGTTCCCAGCAGCTCCCACTGAACCCCGTCCCTCAGCACAGCACCCAGCCTTGCCTTGAACACCCCCAGGCTCGGTGCCTCCCCCACCTCCCTGGGCACCCATTGCAGTGCTGCCCACCTTTCTGAACAGTGACACTTCCTCACGTCCAGCCTGAATCTCCCCTGCCGCAGCTTGAAGCCGTTCCCCCTGCTCCCATCACTGATGGCACGAGAGCAGAGGCCGCCCCCCAGCTCCCTGCAGCCTCCCTTCAGGCAGCCATAAGAGCAGTGCGCTCTGCCCTCAGCTCCTCTTCTCCAGGCTGAACGTTCCCAGCTCCTTCAGCCTCTCCTCATCAGCCCTGTGCTCCAGACCCCTCACCATTTCCTTGCCCTCCTTTGAACACGTTCCAGGGCCTCCGTGTCTTTCTTGCAGCGAGGGGCCCAAAACTGGACCCAGCCCTCGAGGTGCGGCCTCACCAGTGCTGAGTACAGGGAACAATCACCTCCCTGCTCCTGCTGCCTCACCATTCCTAATGCAGGCCAGGCTGCCCTTGGCCTTCTTGGCCACCTGGGCACCCTGTGGGCTCCTGTTCAGCCCAGCATCCATCCATACCCCCAGCTCCATTTCCTCTACGCCATCCTCCAGCCACAGCGCCCCAAGCCTGCAGCATCGCCTGGGGTTGTTGTGGCCCAAGCGCAGCACCCGGCATTTGGCCTTGTTGAACCTCATCCCATGGGCTTCAGCCCAGCTCTGCAGCCTGTCCAGATCCCTCTGCAGGGCCTCGTAACTCTGTAGAGCCTTGTAACTGCCTGGTTAGAAGCAGAGGGAGAAGCATAGTTCCAGCTGTGCTGTGTTAAAGAGCCAGCAGGTCAGTAGAACACGCTGATTTCCTCTGCTCGCTTCATTTTCCTGGCTCCAACCCCTTCCTGTGTCCCTCGGTGCGCAAGCTGCACTGCAATATACCCTGATACAGGCAGATCCACACTTCCAGCCCATCCGGTGCCATCTGCGAATGTACTGAGGCTGCACTCGATGCCCTCATCCAGGTCATCAATGAAGGTATTGCAGAGCACAGCCCCAGCACCGACCCCTGGGGAACACCGCTCACAACCGGCCGCCAGCTGGATTTGACTCCATTCACCACCACTCTGAGCCCGGCCCTCCATGCAGCTCCTCACCCAGCACAGAGTGCAGCCATCCAAGCCTCGGCTGCCAGCTGCTGCAGGAGATGCTGTGGGGGGCAGCGCCAAAGGCTGTGCTGAAGTGCAGGTAGGACATCAACAGCCTTTCCCTCATCCACCAGATGGGTCATAGAAGGAGATCAGGTCGGTCCAACAGGAGCTGCCCTTCATGCTGGGCCTGCTGCCCCGCTCACCCTGCACTGCCGCATCACCTCCCTCACGACCATCTGCTCCATCCCCTTCCCTGGCACCGAGGTCAGGCTGACAGGCCTGCAGTTCCCCGGATCCTCCTTACCACCTTTCTTATAAATGGAGTCACGTCGCCCTCCAGCCTTCTGGGACCTCAGCAGCCAACAAGGAGCGCTGACAGATGATGGAAAGCGGCTCGGCTCTCACCTCCGCCAGCTCCCTCAGCACTCTGGGCTGGATCCCATCTGGCCCCATCGCCTTGTGGCAGCCCAGCTGGAGCAGGAGGTCTCTGACTGTTTCCTCCAGAATCACGGGGGGTTCGTGTGCTCCCCAGCCCAGATTACCAGGTCAGAGAGAGGAGCATCCTGAGGATAACTGGTCTGACTTCTAAAGACAGACGTAAAGAAGGCATTCAGAACCTCCGCCTTTTCCTTATCCTCAGTGCTCGCATTCCCAGCCTCATCCAGCAAAGAGTGGATGCTCTCCTTTGTCCTCCTCTTACTGTTAATGCATTTATAAAAGAGTTTCTTATTCCTTTTCACCCCAGCGGCCAGGTTAAATTCAAGCTGGCCTTTTGCCTTTCTGATTTCACCTCCACACATCCTAACGCCTTCCTTGCATTCATTCTGGGTGCCCTGTCCCTCTTTCCACAGGCGGCAGGTTCTCTTTTTCTCCCTGTTCATCCACGCCGCTCTTCTTCCCCGCCGGCTCATTTTTGCATTCATTCTGCGTCCTTCAGACTTCCTTCTTGAAGAGCAGCCAGCTCTCTTGGACCCCTTTACTCGCTAAGACTGAATGCCAGGGGACTCCCCCTATTTGTCCCCTGAACAATTCCAAGTCCGCCCTCCTCAAGTCCAAGGCAGCAATTTTACTGTTCCCCCTCCAGGCTCCACCACGAATCACCAAGTCCATCATTTCATGGTCGCTCTGCCCAAGGCAGCCTCCAACCTCCACATCTCCCACCAGACCTTCCCTGTTTGTGAACAGCAGCTCCAGTGGGGCCGTTCCTCTCGTGGGCTCTCTGACCAGCTGTATCAGCAAGTTGTGCTCTATGCACTGCAGAAACCTCCTAGACTGCTTCCTCTGTGATACAGCTTCCTCTGTGAAGTGCTATGGGGCACGGTGTGTCTCCATAGGGCGCTATGGGGCACTGCGTGTTTCTATGGGGCACTGTGTGTCTCTATACGGCGCTATGGGTCACTGCGTGTCTCTATAGGGCACTGTGTGTCTCCATAGGGCGCTATGGGGCACTGTGTGTCTCTACAGGGCCCTATGGGGCACTGTGTGTCTCTATAGGGCGCTATGGGGCACTGTGTGTCTCTATAGGGCACTGTGTGTCTCTATAGGGCGCTATGGGGCACTGTGTGTCTCTATAGGGCGCAATGGGGCACAGTGTGTCTCTATAGGGCGCTTTGGGGCACAGTGTGTCTCTATAGGGCGCTATGGGGCACTGTGTTTATCTATAGGGCGCTATGGGGCACTGTGTGTCTTTATAGGGCGCTATGGGGCACTGTGTGTCTCTATAGGGCGCTATGGGGCACAGTGTGTCTCTATAGGGCGCTATGGGGCACTCTGTGTCTCTATAGGGCGCAATGGGCACTGTGTGTCTCTATAGGGCGCTATGGGGCACTGTGTGTCTCTATAGGGCACTATGGGCACTGTGTGTCTCTATAGGGCGATATGGGGCACTGCGTGTCTCTATAGGGCGCTATGGGGCACTGCGTGTTTCTATGGGGCACTGTGTGACTCTATAAGGCGCTATGGGTCACTGCGTGTCTCTATAGGGCACTGTGTGTCTCTATGGGCGCTATGGGGCACTGCGTGTTTCTATGGGGCACTGTGTGTCTCTATACGGCGCTATGGGTCACTGCGTGTCTCTATAGGGCACTGTGTGTCTCCATAGGGCGCTATGGGGCACTGTGTGTCTCTACAGGGCCCTATGGGGCACTGTGTGTCTCTATAGGGCGCTATGGGGCACTGTGTGTCTCTATAGGGCACTGTGTGTCTCTATAGGGCGCTATGGAGCACTGTGTGTCTCTATAGGGCGCTATGGGACACTGTGTGTCTCTCTTGGGGCTATGGGGCACTGTGTGTCTCTATAGGGCGCTATGGGGCCCTGTGTCTCTATAGGGCGCTATGGGGCACTGTGTGTCTCTATAGGGCACTATGGGGCACTGTGTGTCTTTATAGGGCACTATGGGGCACTGTGTGTCTCTATAGGGCGCTATGGGGCACTGTGTGTCTCTATAGGGCGCAATGGGGCACAGTGTGTCTCTATAGGGCGCTTTGGGGCACAGTGTGTCTCTATAGGGCGCTATGGGGCACTGTGTTTCTCTATAGGGCGCTATGGGGCACTGTGTGTCTTTATAGGGCGCTATGGGGCACTGTGTGTCTCTATAGGGCGCTATGGGGCACAGTGTGTCTCTATAGGGCGCTATGGGGCACTCGGTGTCTCTATAGGGCGCAATGGGCACTGTGTGTCTCTATAGGGCGCTATGGGGCACTGTGTGTCTCTATAGGGCACTATGGGCACTGTGTGTCTCTATAGGGTGATATGGGGCACTGCGTGTCTCTATAGGGCGCTATGGGGCACTGTGTGTTTCTATGGGGCACTGTGTGACTCTATAAGGCGCTATGGGTCACTGCGTGTCTCTATAGGGCACTGTGTGTCTCTATGGGCGCTATGGGGCACTGTGTGTCTCTATAGGGCGCTATGGGGCACTGCGTGTGTCTATAGGGCACTGTGTGTCTCCATAGGGCGCTATGGGGCACTGTGTGTCTCTATAAGGCGCTATGGGTCACTGCGTGTCTCTATAGGGCACTGTGTGTCTCTATAGGGCGCTATGGGGCACTGTGTGTCTCTATAGGGCGCTATGGGGCACTGCGTGTGTCTATAGGGCACTGTGTGTCTCCATAGGGCGCTATGGGGCACTGTGTGTCTCTATAAGGCGCTATGGGTCACTGCGTGTCTCTATAGGGCACTGTGTGTCTCTATAGGGCGCTATGGGGCACTGTGTGTCTCCATAGGGCGCTATGGGTCACTGCGTGTCTCTATAGGGCACTGTGTGTCTCTATAGGGCGCTATGGGGCACTGTGTGTCTCCATAGGGCGCTATGGGGCACTGCGTGTGTCTATAGGGCACTGTGTGTCTCCATAGGGCGCTATGGGGCACTGCGTGTCTCTATAGGGCGCTATGGGTCACAGCGTGTCTCTATAGGGCACTGTGTGTCTCTATAGGGTGCTATGGGGCACTGTGTGTCTCTATAGGGCGCTATGGGGCACTGCGTGACTCTATAGGGCTCTATGGGGCACTGTGTGTCTATAGGGCGCTATGGGGCACTGTGTGTCTCTGTAGGGCGCTATGGGGCACTGTGTTTCTCTATAGGGCGCTATGGAGCACTGTGTGTCTCTATGGGGCGCTATGGGGCACTGTGTGTCTCTGTAGGGCGCTATGGGGCACTGTGTGTCTCTATAGGGCGCTATGGAGCACTGTGTGTCTCTATGGGGCGCTATGGGGCACTGCGTGTCTCTATAGGGCGCTATGGAGCACTGTGTGTCTCTATAGGGTGCTATGGGGCACTGTGTGTCTATAAGGCGCTATGGGGCACTGTGTGTCTCTATGGGCACTATGAGGCAATGTGTGTCTCTATAGGGCGCTATGGGGCACTGTGTGTCTCTGTAGGGCGCTATGGGGCACTGCGTGTCTCTACAGGGCGCTATGGGGCACTGTGTCTCTATAAGGCGCTATGGGGCACTGTGTGTCTCTGTAGGGCGCTATGGTGCACTGTATGTCTCTACAGGGCGCTATGGGGCACTGTGTCTCTATAAGGCGCTATGGGGCACTGTGTGTCTCTATAGGGCGCTAGGGGCACTGTGTGTCTCTATAGGGCACTATGGGGCACTGTGTGTCTCTATGGGGCGCTATGGGGCACTGTGTGTCTCTATAGGGCGCTATGGGGCACTGTGTGTCTCTATGGGCACTATGGGGCACTGTGTGTATCTATAGGGCGCTATGGGGCACTGCGTGTCTCTATGGGGCGCTAAGGGGCACTGTGTGTCTCTATAGGGCGCTATGGGGCACTGTGTGTCTCTACAGGGCGCTATGGGGCTCTGTGTGTCTCTATAGGGCGCTATGGGGCACTGTGTGTCTCTACAGGGCGCTATGGGGCTCTGTGTGTCTCTATAGGGCGCTATGGGGCACTGTGTGTCTCTATAGGGCGCTATGGGGCACTGTGTGTCTCTACAGGGCGCTATGGGGCTCTGTGTGTCTCTATAGGGCGCTATGGGGCACTGTGTGTCTCTGTATGGCGCTATGGGGCACTGTGTGTCTCTACAGGGCGCTATGGGGCTCTGTGTGTCTCTATAGGGCGCTATGGGGCACTGTGTGTCTCTGTATGGTGCTATGGGGCACTGTGTGTCTCTATAGGGCGCTATGGGGCACTGTGTGTGTCTATAGGGCGCTATGGTGCACTGTGTGTCTCTATGGGGCGCTATGGGGCACTGTGTGTCTCTATAGGGCGCTATGGGGCACTGTGTGTCTCTACAGGGCACTATGGGGCACTGTGTGTCTCTATAGGGCGCTATGGGGCACTGTGTGTGTCTACAGGGCGCTATGGGTCACTGTGTGTCTCTATAGGGCGCTATGGGGCACTGTGTGTCTCTACAGGGCGCTATGGGGCACTGTGTGTCTCTATAGGGCGCTATGGGGCACTGTGTGTCTCTACAGGGCGCTATGGGGCACTGTGTGTCTTTATAGGGCGCTATGGAGCACTGTGTGTCTCTATGGGGCGCTATGGGGCGCTGTGTGTCTCCATAGGGCGCTATGGGGCACTGTGTTTCTATAGGGCGCTATGGGGCACTGTGTGTCTACACGGCACTATGGGGCACTGTGTGTCTCTACAGGGCGCTATGGGGCACAGTGTGTCTCTATGGGGCGCTATGGGGCACTGTGTGTCTCTACAGGGCGCTATGGGGCACTGTGTGTCTCTATAGGGCGCTATGGGGCACTGTGTGTCTCTACAGGGCGCTATGGGGCACTGTGTGTCTCTATAGGGCGCTATGGGGCACTGTGTGTCTCTATAGGGCGCTATGGGTCACTGTGTGTCTCTACAGGGCGCTATGGGGCACTGTGTGTCTCTATAGGGCGCTATGGGGCACTGTGTGTCTATAGGGCGCTATGGGGCACTGTGTGTCTCTATGGGGCGCTATGGGGCACTGTGTGTCTCTATAGGGCGCAATGGGGCACTGTGTGTCTACAGGGCACTATGGGGCACTGTGTGTCTCTATGGGGCGCTATGGGGCACTGTGTGTCTCTATGGGGCGCTATGGGGCACTGTGTGTCTCTATAGGGTGCTATGGGGCTCTGTGTGTCTCTATAGGCCGCTATGGGGCACTGTGTGTCTCTATGGGGCGCTATGGGGCACTGTGTGTCTCTACAGGGCGCTATGGGGCACTGTGTGTCTCTGTACGGCGCTATGGGGCACTGTGTGTCTCTACAGGGCGCTATGGGGCACTGTGTGTCTCTGTACGGCGCTATGGGGCACTGTGTGTCTATAGGGCGCTATGGGGCACTGTGTGTCTCTATAGGGTGCTATGGGGCACTGTGTGTCTCTCTTGGGGCTATGGAACACTGTGTGTCTCTATAGGGCGCTATGGGGCACTGTGTGTCTCTATAGGGCGCTATGGGGCACTGTGTGTCTTTATAGGGGCTATGGGGTACTGTGTGTCTCTATAGGGCGCTATGGGGTACTGTGTGTCTCTATAGGGCGCTATGGGGCACTGTGTGTCTCTATGGGGCGCTATGGGGCACTGTGTGTCTCTATAGGGCGCTATGGGGCACTGTGTCTCTACAGGGCGCTATGGGGCACTGTGTGTCTTTATCTGGCGCTATGGGGCACTGTGTCTCTATAGGGCGCTATGGGGCACTGTGTGTCTCTATAGGGCGCTATGGGGCGCAGTGTGTCTCTTTAGGGCGCTATGGGGCACTGTGTGTCTCTATGGGGCGCTATGGAGCACTGTGTGTCTCTACAGGGCGCTATGGGGCACTGTGTGTCTTTATCTGGCGCTATGGGGCACTGTGTGTCTCTACAGGGCGCTATGGGGCACTGTGTGTCTCTATAGGGCGCTATGGGGCACTGTGTGTCTCTACAGGGCGCTATGGGGCACTGTGTGTCTTTATCTGGCGCTATGGGGCGCATTGTGTCTCTATGGGGCGCTATGGGGCACTGTGTGTCTCCATTGGGTGCTATGGGGCACTGTGTGTCTTTATCTGGCACTATGGGGCACTGTGTGTCTCTATAGGGCGCTATGGGGTACTGTGTCTCTACAGTGCGCTATGGGGCACTGTGTGTCTCTATAGGGCGCTATGGGGCACTGTGTGTCTCTATAGGGCGCTATGGGGCACTGTGTGTCTTTATCTGGCACTATGGGGCACTGTGTCTCTATAGGGCGCTATGGGGCACTGTGTGTCTATAGGGCGCTATGGGGCGCAGTGTGTCTCTATAGGGCGCTATGGGGCACTAAGTGTCTCTATAGGGCACTATGGGGCACTGTGTGTCTCTATGGGGCGCTATGGGGCACTGTGTGTCTATATGGGTCGCTATGGGGCACTGTGTGTCTCTATAGGGCGCTAAGGGGCACTGTGTGTCTCTATAGGGCGCTATGGGGCACTGTGTGTCTCTGTAGGGCGCTATGGGGCACTGTGTGTCTTTATCTGGCGCTATGGGGCGCTGTGTCTCTATAGGGCGCTATGGGGCACTGTGTGTCTCTATAGGGCGCTATGGGGCGCAGTGTGTCTCTTTAGGGCGCTATGGGGCACTGTGTGTCTCTATAGGGCGCTATGGGGCACTGTGTGTCTTTATCTGGCGCTATGGGGCACAGTGTGTCTCTTTAGGGCGCTATGGGGCGCTGTGTGTCTCTATAGGGCGCTATGGGGCACTATGTGTCTCCATAGGGTGCTATGGGGCACTGTGTGTCTCTATGGGGCGCTATGGGGCTCTGTGTGTCTCTATAGGGTGCTATGGGGCACTGTGTGTCTCTATAGGGCGCTATGGGGCACTGTGTCTCTACAGGGCGCTATGGGGCACTGTGTGTCTTTATCTGGCGCTATGGGGCACAGTGTGTCTCTCTAGGGCGCTATGGGGCACTGAGTGTCTCTATAGGGCGCTATGGGGCGCAATGTGTCTCTATAGGGCGCTATGGGGCACAGTGTGTCTCTTTAGGGCTCTATGGGGCACTGTGTGTCTCTCTAGGGCGCTATGGGGCACTGAGTGTCTCTATAGGGCGCTATGGGGCGCAGTGTGTCTCTATGGGGCGCTATGGGGCACAGTGTGTCTCTGTAGGGCGCCATAGGGCACTGTGTGTCTCTATAGGGCGCTATGGGGCACTGTGTGTCTCTATAGGGCGTTATGGGGCACTGTGTGTCTCTATAGGGCGCTATGGGGCACTGTGTGTCTTTATCTGGCGCTATGGGGCACTGTGTGTCTCTATAGGGCGCTATGGGGCACTGTGTGTCTTTTTCTGGCACTATGGGGCACTGTGTGTATCTATAGGGCGCTATGGGGAACTGTGTGTCTTTATTTGGCGCTATGGGGCACTGTGTGTCTCTATAGGGCGCTATGGGGCACTGTGTGTCTTTATCTGGCGCTATGGGGCACTGTGTGTCTCTATAGGGCGCTATGGGGCACTGTGTGTCTTTATTTGGCGCTATGGGGCACTGTGTGTCTCTATAGGGCGCTATGGAGCACTGTGTGTCTCTATAGGGCGCTATGGGGCACTGTGTGTGTCTATGGGGCGCTATGGGGCACTGTGTGTCTCTATAGGGCGCTATGGGCACTGTGTGTCTCTATGGGGCGCTATGGGGCACTGTGTGTCTCTATAGGGCGCTATGGGGCACTGTGTGTCTCTATAGGGTGCAATGGGGCACTGTGTCACTATAGGGCGCTATGGGGCACTGTGTGTCTTTATCTGGCACTATGGGGCACTGTGTGTCTCTATAGGGCGCTATGGGGCACTGTGTCTCTATAGGGCGCTATGGGGCACTGTGTGCCTCTATAGGGCGCTATGGGGCACTGTGTGTCTTTATCTGGCGCTATGGGGCACTGTGTGCCTCTATAGGGCGCTATGGGGCACTGTGTGTCTTTATCTGGCGCTGTGGGGCACTGTGTGTCTCTACAGGGCGCTATGGGGCACTGTGTGTCTCTATAGGGCGCTATGGGGCACTTTGTGTCTTTATCTGGCGCTATGGGGCACTGTGTGTCTCTATAGGGCGCTGTGGGGCACTGTGTGTCTTTATCTCGCGCTATGGGGCACTGTGTGTCTCTATAGGTCGCTATGGGGCACTGTGTGTCTTTATCTCGCGCTATGGGGCACTGTGTGTCTCTACAGGGCGCTATGGGGCACTGTGTGTCTCTATAGGGCGCTATGGGGCACTGTGTGTCTCTACAGGGCGCTATGGGGCACTGTGTGTCTCTATAGGGCGCTATGGGGCACTGTGTGTCTCTATGGGGCGCTATGGGGCACTGTGTGTCTTTATCTCGCGCTATGGGGCACTGTGTCTCTACAGGGCGTTATGGGGCACTGTGTGTCTCTATAGGGCGCTATGGGGCACTGGGTGTCTCTATAGGGCACTATGGGGCACTGTGTGTCTTTATCTGGCACTATGGGGCACTGTGTCTCTATAGGGCGCTATGGGGCACTGTGTGTCTCTATGGGGCGCTATGGGGCACTGTGTGTCTCTATAGGGCGCTATGGGGCACTGTGTGTCTCTATGGGGCGCTATGGCGCACTGTGTGTCTCTATAGGGCGCTATGGGGCACTGTGTGTCTCTATGGGGCGCTATGGCGCACTGTGTGTCTCTATAGGGCGCTATGGGGCACTGTGTGTCTCTATAGGGCGCTATGGTGCACTGTGTGTCTCTATAGGGCGCTATGGGGCACTGTGTGTCTTTATCTGGCGCTATGGGGCACTGTGTGTCTCTATAGGGCGCTATGGGGCACTGTGTGTCTATAGGGCGCTATGGGGCACTGTGTGTCTCTATATGGCGCTATGGGGCACTGTGTGTCTCTATGGGGCGCTATGGGGCACTGTGTGTCTCTATAGGGCGCTATGGGGCACTATGTGTGTCTATGAGGCGCTATGGGGCACTGTGTGTCTCCATAGGGTGCTATGGGGCACTGTGTGTCTTTATCTGGCACTATGGGGCACTGTGTGTCTGTATAGGGCGCTATGGGGCACTGTGTGTCTTTATCTGGCACTATGGGGCACTGTGTGTCTCTATAGGGCGCTATGGGGCACTGTGTGTCTTTATCTGGCACTATGGGGCACTGTGTGTCTCTATAGGGCGCTATGGGGCACTGTGTCTCTATAGGGCGCTATGGGGCACTGTGTGTCTTTGTCTCGCGCTATGGGGCACTGTGTGTCTCTACAGGGCGCTATGGGGCACTGTGTGTCTCGATAGGGCGCTATGGGGCACTGAGTGTCTCTATAGGGCGCTATGGGGCACTGTGTGTCTCTGTAGGGCCCTATGGGGCGATGTGTGCCCTATAGGGCGCTATGGGGCACTGTGGGTCTCTATAGGGCACTATGGGCACTGTGTGTCTCTATAGGGCGCTATGGTGCGCTGTGTGTCTCTATGGGGCGCTATGGGGCACTGCGTGTCTCTATAGGGCGCTATGGGGCGCTGCGTGTCTCTATAGGGCCCTATGGGGCACTGCGTGTCTCTATAGGGCGCTATGGGGCACTGTGTGTCTCTATAGGGCGCTATGGGGCGCTGTGTGTCTCTATAGGGCGCTATGGGGCACTGCGTGTCTCTGTGGGGCACTGTGTGTCTCTATAGGGCCCTATGGGGCACTGTGTGTCTCTATAGGGCGCTATGGGGCACTGTGTGTCTCTATAGAGCGCTGTGGGGCACTGTGTGTCTCTATAGGGCGCTATGGGGCACTGTGTGTCTCCATAGGGCGCTATGGGGCGCTGTGTGTCTCTGTAGGGCGCTATGGGGCGCTGTGTGTCCCTATAGGGCGCTATGGGGCACTGTGTGTCTCTATAGAGCGCTATGGGGCACTGTGTGTCTCTATAGGGCGCTATGGGGCACTGTGTGTCTCTATAGAGCTCTATGGGGCACTGTGTGTCTCTATAGGGCGCTATGGGGCACTGTGTGTCTCTATAGGGCGCTATGGGGCACTGTGTGTCTCTATAGAGCTCTATGGGGCACTGTGTGTCTCTATAGGGCGCTATGGGGCACTGCGTGTCTCTATAGAGCTCTATGGGGCACTGTGTGTCTCTATAGGGCGCTATGGGGCACTGTGTGTCTCTATAGAGCTCTATGGGGCACTGTGTGTCTCTATAGGGCGCTATGGGGCACTGTGTGTCTCTGTAGGGCGCTATGGGGCGCTGTGTGTCCCTATAGGGCGCTATGGGGCACTGTGTGTCTCTATAGAGCGCTATGGGGCACTGTGTGTCTCTATAGGGCGCTATGGGGCACTGCGTGTCTCTATAGGGCGGTATGGGGCACTGCGTGTCTCTATAGGGCGCTATGGGGCACTGTGTGTCTCTATAGGGCGCTATGGGTGCTGTGTGTCTCTATAGGGCGCTATGGGGCACTGTGTGTCTCTATGGGGCGTTATGGGGCGCTGTGTGTCTCTATGGGGCGCTATGGGGCACTCCGTGTCTCTGTAGGGCGCTATGGGGCGCTGTGTGTCTCTATAGGGCGCTATGGGGCACTGTGTGTCTCTATAGGGCTCTATGGGGCGCTGCGTGTCTCTATAGGGCGCTATGGGGCTCTGTGTGTCTCTGTAGGGCGCTATGGGGCACTGCGTGTCTCTATAGGGCTCTATGGGGCACTGTGTCTCTATAGGGCGCTATGGGGCACTGTGTGTCTCTATAGAGCGCTATGGGGCACTGTGTGTCTCTATAGGGCGCTATGGGGCACTGTGTGTCTCTATAGAGCGCTATGGGGCACTGTGTGTCTCTATAGGGCGCTATGGGGCACTGTGTGTCTTTCTAGGGCGCTATGGGGCACTGAGTGTCCCTATAGGGCGCTATGGGGCACTGTGTTTCTCTATAGGGCGCTATGGGGCGCTGTGTGTCTCTATAGGGCGCTATGGGGCACTGTGTGTCTCTATAGGGCGCTATGGGGCACTGCGTGTCTCTATAGGGCGCTATGGGGCACTGTGTGTCTCTATAGGGCGCTATGGGGCACTGCGTGTCTCTACAGGGCGCTATGGGGCACTGTGTGTCTCTATAGGGCGCTATGGGGCACTGCGTGTCTCTATAGGGCACTATGGGGCACTGTGTGTCTCTATAGGGCGCTATGGGGCACTGCGTGTCTCTACAGGGCGCTATGGGGCACTGTGTGTCTCTATAGGGCGCTATGGGGCACTGCGTGTCTCTATAGGGCACTATGGGGCACTGTGTGTCTCTATAGGGCACTATGGGGCACTGCGTGTCTCTACAGGGCGCTATGGGGCACTGTGTGTCTCTATAGGGCGCTATGGGGCACTGCGTGTCTCTATAGGGCGCTATGGGGCACTGCGTGTCTCTACAGGGCGCTATGGGGCACTGTGTGTCTCTATAGGGCACTATGGGGCACTGTGTGTCTCTATAGGGCGCTATGGGGCGCTGTTTCTCTATCAGTGCCTTTTCAGTGCTGGCTGCTCACCGTCTTGCAGCCGATGTCGCTGTGGTCGTTTTACAGCCCTTCCCGCAGCGCCGCTCGCTCTGTAGCACAGCAGCAGGGGGCGCTGAGCAGCGTTGGCTGGCGGCAGCTGCGGCCTGTGGGCAAAGCGCTGCAGCTGAACACGGCAGCTGGGGATCCTTGCATTGCATCCTGCGGAGGCACGAGGCAACTTGGCGCCTCCCTGCTGCCTCTGATCTGCCGGCGAGGCCAGGAAGAGAAGAGCAAAGGAGGTTCCTGCTGAGCTGCCAGGGCCAGAAGCTGCCGTTGCAAGGAGAGCTGACTGAACCGCATTGGATCTGAGCTGTGACTCAAGCAGAGCTGATTCGAGCGCTTTGGATTGGAGCCGCCCCTCCACAAACAGCTGCCTCGGCCGCTTTGAAGCATTGAAAAAGGGCCGCCGTCACCACGGTCGTCCTTCGTCGCCAACAGAGCAGCGGCGCCCCACGACCCAGCGCTGCTGAGGGTCACAGACGGAGCTGCGATGCTGGCTGGATGCACGGCGCTGAACATCTGCCTATAAAGACTCCTTGCTTCTTCTCTCCTATCTGTTCTGTCGCCCTCCTTCCCTTCCCCTTGTTGGAAATAACGGCAGTCATTTTGTCGGGACGGCGTCTGATAAAAGCAGAACTGATTGGCGATGGCAGTGGCGGCGTCCCACAGTAAGGTTAGCATTAGAGACAGGAAAACTCTCCAGGTCCCATTCGCAAGGCTCCAGCTCCCCCAGTAACTGAGAGCGCATCCTTTCTGCAGGACCCTGCACAGATCAGCAGCACCCACTGCCCTCCTCTGGAGAGGTCAGCGCCGCTTTAGAACTTGCACTGCTGTAGAAATTAAAGGGAAGTTACCTAAGGGATCCCATTTATGATCTTTCTGCCTCTCTTTCCCATTTCCTTTGAACTTGGACTCCTCGCGAGGAACATTTCTTTACTTCCTGCACTCATTAAGCGACCTCAGCCAGTTCTGTTTCAGAAAAAGGAGTCTTGCTGTTTACATGTAAATACAAAGTCTGATAGGCGCGATTTTCTTCAGACTCCTGTTTTGGTCCAAATAAGGATTTTCCCTGTAGCGGCTCCCTACTGCATACAGTATTTAAACTTTTTTCCCTGTTCTTTTCCTAGTTCTGGGATTCTTCTCCAGTTCTGAAGCACTTCTCCCAGGGGCTGTGCTCTCTCCAGGCACCATTCCGGGGACCTTTTTTTCCCCTGCTCTCACAACTCCTATTCCCCATCCCTCCAGGACGCTGCTGTGAACTCCCCAGCTCACAGCTTACCACCTCCGTCTGTGACCCTCAGCAGCGCTGGGTCGTGGGGCGCCGCTGCTCTGTTGGCGACGAAGGACGACCGTGGTGACGGCGGCCCTTTTTCAATGCTTCAAAGCGGCCGAGGCAGCTGTTTGTGGAGGGGCGGCTCCAATCCAAAGCGCTCGAATCAGCTCTGCTTGAGTCACAGCTCAGATCCAAAGCGGTTCAGTCAGCTCTCCTTGCAACGGCAGCTTCTGGCCCTGGCAGCTCAGCAGGAACCTCCTTTGCTCTTCTCTTCCTGGCCTCGCCGGCAGATCAGAGGCAGCAGGGAGGCGCCAAGTTGCCTCGTGCCTCCGCAGGATGCAATGCAAGGATCCCCAGCTGCCGTGTTCAGCTGCAGCGCTTTGCCCACAGATTTGGGCCCAATCCCTCAGCAGTACTGTACTCCTATCTCGGATCAATAGGGCCGCGCTGCTGCCACTTCAAGCGCACAGGGTGCCGCACACCAACAGCTCCCTCCCCAGACTCTTCCTTGCACCAACGCCGCTCCGTCCGTCCCTGGCCGTCGCCCCTCGCGGCACAGCGGAGCCGCAGGGCGGCACTCAGCGCTCGCTTCGCGCTGACGGCGCGTCTCAGTCGCACGCACTCAAGAGTCTCAATCGACCCCAAGGAAAGACTTAAATCCCCTCACCTTGGTCCGTGCACGAAGTTACCGGGTCGCCATGGCCGACACCAGTGCCTCCCTGCCCCTTGGCTTTCACAGAGCCCGTCCTTTATGGAACAGTCTCTGTTTTTTATCGGCCGTACCGAGGAGTCACCCCAGCACCCAGACAGGACCGCTGCCATCAGCGGGGTGCCCCTATCCTGTGCAGGGCAGCAGGGAAACTCCCAAAGAGGCGATAATAATCCCGGACGAGCCCCCAAATTGATGGAAATAACGGCAGTCATTTTGTCAGGACGGCGTCTGATAAAAGCAGAATTGATTGGCGATCGCAATGGCGGCGTCCCACAAGTAGCAGCGCCCTATGGACACCACAGGACAGCCTTTAGAGCCCGTTTGCTCCCCTTTGCCTCCCCCTGCCCTGTTTCCCAATGGCTGGGTGCTCCAGGTTCACAATGCTATCAGAAGAATTGACGTTTGCTATTTGTTCATTGATTTGTTACCTGGTGCCAGTCAGGAATCATCCAAGCCGTCTCGGTGCTCTGCTTGTCCCATGGATGCGGTGATTTTCTTTGAGGTCATCATCGTTAAGCAGAGAGCACTGGGGATGATGGCAGGCCTTCCCAATGCCAGGCTCTTCCTCGGGCTGCCATGGCTTGTTCTCATGCAGGATATTCTTGCAGCCTATGTGGCAAAATATCCATCCGTACACCTACATACAGAGCGTGCCTTCCTGGGAAGGTTCGTCCATACGATAAGAGATGTAAACTTATCAGAGATCTTCCCCAAGTTAAGTAGAGGGACTCCCAAAAAGAACCACGACAGCGGAGATCAGAAGACAAAAACAGCATCATACAATTCTAATGCAGAAACAACCCTTGATCCTCACATTAATTAAGCCCCACGCCGTCGTTTGCTCGCTGCCCCCTCCTCTGGCCGCCTCCCATCGCTCTGCATATTTCCCCTATCTTTGCTCTTTGGCCATTCGGGTGTCTCTCGCCAACTCAGTTGCTGTTGGGAGTTCAGGTTGTTCAAGCTTCCCTGTGTCTCCGTTGTCTCTCATCACCCCTGTTGCCAACTCCGTCATTGTGCTGCTACCAACCTGATCTCCTTCTATGATCTAGTGACCCATCTGGTGGATGAGGGAAAGGCTGTTGATGTTCTACCTAGACTTCAGCAAAGCCTTTGACACTGTCTCCCACAGCATCTCCTGCAGCAGCTGGCAGCCAGAGGCTTGGATGGATGCACTCTTGGCTGGGTAAGGAGCTGGCTGAAGGGCCGGGCACAGAGAGTGGTGGTGAATGGAGTCAAATCCAGCTGGCGACCGGTTGTGAGCGGTGTTCCCCAGGGGTCGGTGCTGGGCCTGTGCTCTGCAATACCTTCATTGATGACCTGGATGAGGGCATCGAGTGCAGCCTCAGTACATTCGCAGATGACAGCAAATTGGCTGGAAGTGTGGATCTGCCTGGGGGTAGCGAGGCCCTGCAGAGGGATCTGGACAGGCTGCAGAGCTGGGCTGCAGCCCATGGGATGAGGTTCAACAAGGCCAAATGCCGGGTCCTGCACTTGGGCCACAACAACCCCAGGCGACGCTGCAGGCTTGGGGCGCTGTGGCTGGAGGACGGCGTAGAGGAAATGGAGCTGGGGGTATGGATGGATGCTGGGCTGAACAGGAGCCCACAGGGTGCCCAGGTGGCCAAGAAGGCCAAGGGCATCCTGGCTTGCATCAGAAACAGTGTTGCAAGCAGGAGCAGAGAGGTGATTTTTCCCCTGTACTCAGCACTGGTGAGGCCGCACCTCGAGTGCTGTGTCCAGTTTTGGGCCCCTCGCTGCAAGAAAGATATTGAGGCCCTGGAACGTGTTCAAAGGAGGGCAACAAAGCTGGTGAGGGGTCTGGAGCACAGGGCTGATGAGGAGAGGCTGAAGGAGCTGGGAACGTTCAGCCTGGAGAAGAGGAGGCTCAGGGGAGACCTCATTGCTCTCTATAACTTCCTGAAGGGAGGCTGCAGGGAGCTGGGGGGCGGCCTCTTCTCTCGTGCCATCAGTGATGGGAGCAGGGGGAATGGCTTCAAGCTACGGCAGGGGAGATTCAGGCTGGACATGAGGAAGTGTTACTTTTCGGAAAGGGTGGTCAGGCACTGGAACGGATGCCCAGGGAGGTGGTGGAGTCACCGAGCCTGGGGGTGTTCAAGGAAAGGCTGGATGTTGTGTTGAGGGACATGGTTTAGTAGGAGCTATTGGGAATAGGTGAACGGTTGGACT